CCCTGGCCCCCCTCCAAGCGGGTCGGACCGGACCGGCTCTTGCTGGCCTGGGGCCCCGTGGAAATGGATGGTTTTGGGACGAGCCGCGTGGGCATCCTGGGCCTTCCCAGACGGCTGCTACCGCCCATTGGCATCGGTCACCACCACGCCAGGCTCTTGTCCCCCGTGTGCCCGGCCCGGAGGAGAGGGCGACCCAGCAACGGGCTTTGCAGGGGAGAGGAGCGGTCCCCGCCGTGCTCACCTGTCAGCTTGATGAAGCCGCGCTCGTCCAGCAGGATGTTCTCGCACTTCAGGTCTCTGCAGGGAACGGGCAGCTGGCCTGTGGGATCCCTCTCCCCATGCACGCGGCCCCCCAGGCGTGTGCTCACACACACGCGCATGCACAGGAGAAGTGCGAGCCGGCACGCACCGGGGACCCCGTGCACGAGGGGCTGATGGGCCGGACCCCTGGCCTCCTGCCGCTCTCACCTGTGCACGACGCCGACGCCGTGGCAGTGGGCGACGGCGCTGACGATCTGGCGGAAGAGCCGGCGGGCCTCCCCCTCCTCCAGGCCTGGGCGCTGCCGGAAGTCCGAGGTGGCGTTGATGTGCTCCAGGAGGTCCCCGCGGGCCGCCAGCTCCAGCACCAGGTAGGTGCGCTTGCTGGTCCGGTACGTCTCGTACAGCTGGATCTGCCGCAGCCACCGCCGTGTCGGACAGCTCCCGCCGTGGGGGGGGGCTTCCCTTGCTCCGACCCCCCAGACCCGACTCCCTCGGAGCCCCTGGCCTCTCCGGGCCCCCCCCAACCCTGCTCAGGGCCAGCTGAGGCTTTCACTCTGCACCGCTGCCTGTTGCTGCAAGCCACGGGCCTAAACCCCCTAGGCTGAGCTCTCCTGATCTCTATGCTTCATGCCCTTGGGAGCTGGGTGTCTAAGCCCCCTAGTCCATGCCAGACTTTGCTCTACCCTTTGCACCACTGCAGTCTGGGAGGCTGCTCGTGGCTCAGCGGTGCCCGGGCAGGTGTTTGCACGCCAAGGAGCGCCGATAACGTGGTGCTTGCTGCACCCTTCGAAGCCCCGCAGAGCCCCGGTTAAGCATTGCTGCACCGCAGCGGCTGGGGCTGCTATAGGGGCAGGCGGCAGTGGGGTTAGGGGCACGGGGATGCTTTGGGGGGTGCAGCCTGGGCCCACCCCCAAAGCAGAGGGCAGCAGGGCTGGGACTCACCACGTTCCCGTGCTTGTAGGTGGCGTTGAGGCAGTAGATTTCCCTCGGGAGGAACTTCCTGGCGTACTCGAGGGGCGCCTTGGCCGTGGAGATGATCTTGATGGCGACCTGAGGGGAGACGCGGGCGGCGGGTTGGGGAACAGGCTTTTCCCCAGACCCGGCATCTCCCCACCCTCTCCAAGGGCCCCACGTCCTTGCCAAAGTGCAGAGCCCAACGTGCAGCCGGACCTGCCGCCGCGTTGCCCTCACCATGGAGTGCCGCTTGCCGCGCAGGTCGGCGGCCAGCTTGTAGTTGTGCCGGACCTTGTCGGGCAGCGCGTGGGCCAGGTACACCTTGGAGAAGGCGCCGGCGCCGATCTTCTTGGCGGAGAGCAGGTAGCCGTTCTCCTTGCTCTCCCGGGCCTGCTCCAGGAGCGTCTTCCTGTCCGTCTCGTGCCTAGATGAGCTCTTCATGGCGCCGCATCCGCCTGCGCACGCACAGGGAAAGGCAGCAGGCGCGGGGCCCGGGACGGCCGTGGGGACAGCGCGATGCCCACCAGGACCAGAGCCCAGGCCCGAACATCAGGTCCGCGGCGGGGCGAGCAGGCGGCAGCGGGTGCTCCTCTCGAGGCGCGGGGCCCGGGGCACCGTGGCCCCTTGTTGCTGTGTGGACGGAGGAGTCTCCGCAGTGACGGGCGCGTTCCACCGCTGCGTTCTGGAACCCGGCGCCGAGCCGAGCAGGGTCCGGGGCCCGCGATTGCGCTGCCCGTCTGTGCCGGGCTGGGAGTCACCTTCGGCGCACGTGTCCTCCACAGCTCATCCTGCTGCCTCGGTTTCCCCTGAGGCACGAAGGTGGGGCTGGTCTGTCTCCCCGCCCGAATTGGGGGCACGGCTGCGGGAAGCCCGGTGCCCTCCATCTGTGCGCTGCGGCTGGTGCTTCAGGCCATCGGGACGGACTCGCTGCCCCAGGGGGGTTCTCCGCCTCGCAGCACCCCGGAGAGGAGGGCGTTGTTCTCCCACCCAGCCCCTGCCCTGAAGCTGGAGGGGGTTCAGGCTTCCCTAGCAGGCGGCGCGGCTCCGCTGGATCTGGGGTTCCCCCTGGACAAGCCATGGCCGGGGCTCGGGGTCCCCACGGCCGGTCTTGCCCCATGGCGAGCTCCGAAAGAGCAACCCTCCCCCTGGCACCAGTGCATGGGGCTGGAGACTCGCAGGGCGGAGACGCACCATTGTACACGTGGGTTTGCTTCCACCGCCGCTCCATGGCGCCTCTTCTCCCTTTCTCCGGCTGCAGGGAGCCGGGTGCAGCCCCCGGACGGACGCGTCCGCGCGGTGCAAGCCCGGGGCGGCCGTGGTCGGAGCGGGCACCCGGCTCTTCCCAGGCGCCTGCTTCTGGGGAGGATCGTGGGCTCCGACCCCCCGGCCCTGAAGGCTCCTGCCTGCTTCTTCCTTGCGTACATTAGCACTGAATTAACGAGCAGTGGCGTGCCTTTGCACCAGCCTTTGCACACGGATTTGCAATAACAGGCTTTTGCGCTGGGCCCAAGCCAGCAGGGCCCCCCACGTGTGCGCAGGAACCGGGGTGCATGCATTAGCATGCAATTAGCATACATTGCCTGCCTTTGCAGCACTACTGAGCACGTGCTTGTGACGTGCAGCCGGCCCGGCTGTTCCCGGGACGCTGGGACGGGAGACGCAGGCCCCGCGCCCCACCCCGCTCGCCTCCCTCGGGTGACGATTAGGAGCCGGTTTCCTAATTACTAATCAATAATAAATTGATTTCCTTTATGGAAAACCAGGCGGCGGCGCAGCGCTCCCGCCCCGTCCGGCCGTGCCCGGGGTGCCGCGGTGCTCGACCGGGGAGGGGGGGCCAGGCCCTCCCGCTGGGCGGAGCCTAAAGGTGTCTCATGCAAATGTATGCAAATGATGCTAATTGCTGCCCGGTGTTGCCAGTGCCGCCCGTGAGGCTGATGGATGGGTGCGGGGTGCCCGTGCTCTGCAAACATGCCCCACGCGCGTGTCCGTTTATGCTAATGAGATGAATGCTAATATCTGTCGGGCCGCCCCCTGCAGGCAGGCGGGTTGTGCTGCTCCCCGCCCATGGGGGCGGGGCTCGTGTCTTGGGTGGAGCTTAAAGGCCTGCCATTGCAAATGCATGCTAATTAGTGGTGCAAAGGTATGCTCATATATGTTAATTGGATGCAAACGTATCACGCGGTGGGGGGCGGGGCTGGTGCTGTGGGTGGGTGGAGCTTAAAGGCCGGCTAGTGCACACGTGTGCTAATTGCTGGTGCAAAGCCATGCTAATGTGTGCTAATTCCATGCAAGCATTGGTGGGGGTGCCGCGTCCCCAACCTTTGGGGCGGGGGGCGGGGCTGTCGTGGGTGGGGCCTAAAGGGGCACCAATGCAAATATATGCAAAGCGAGGCGGCAGCTGCATGGTGATCTATGCTAATATATGCTAATGTATGCAGGTGCGTGGATGGGGAGCCCCGTTGCCCTCCCAGCTCGGGGGGCGGGGATGATGTAAAAATATGCTAATCACCGAGGCGCGGGGATGCTAATTGTACCACCCGAGGGGGCGTGGCCTTCCCGCGTGGGGGTGGCCAGTCCCGCCCCTCAGGCAACCCGCGGGGCGGCGCTCCGGCGCATGCGCGGAGG